GGTTTAAAATGTTTTTTTTTGTTTTTGCAGAAAATTTGTTAGCTTTTTTTTTGTTTGTGCACAAAATCATTTCATACAGTTATCAAAGTTTAACTTAGTTGTAAAAGTTAAATCAGCAAATAACAATTTTACTTTGCATGTGTATGATGAATTTTTAGTGATTTTTTTGCAGAAAATTTGTTAGCTTTTTTTTTGTTTGTGCACAAAATCATTTCATACAGTTATCAAAGTTTAACTTACTTGTAAAAGTTAAATCAGCAAATAACAATTTTACTTTGCATGTGTATGATGAATTTTTAGTGATTTTTTTGCAGAAAATTTGTTAGCTTTTTTTTTGTTTGTGCACAAAATCATTTCATACAGTTATCAAAGTTTAACTTACTTGTAAAAGTTAAATCAGCAAATAACAATTTTACTTTGCATGTGTATGATGAATTTTTAGTGATTTTTTTGCAGAAAATATGTTTGGTTTTTGTAGTTTGTGCACAAAATCATTTCATACAATTAACAATGTTTAACTTACTTATAAAAGTTAAATTAGCAAATAAAAATTATCATTTGCATGTGTATGATAAATGCATCCCAAATCTATCGTTCATAACCGTTAGCTTACATTATATGATATATTGGACGTCCAGATAGAATTTGGTTTACTTTGTCGAGTGGCAGGTAAAAGTAAAAATAGAAAATCCAGGAAAACTTACTTGAGAAAACATACATGATAAAAGTAAACTAATTATGACAATTTCAATTTTAGGGATTGTACTGTTGCATTTATTCAGAAGGATAGAAAATGATAAAACTCATTATGACTCATAATTCATTTATATTTGTTAAGTTGAACTGTTTTTGTCACTCTAGATATAATATTTAAAAAAATTAAAACAATAAATTATAACTTAAATATCTTCTTAACAATGGTTCATTGAACAAGATTTTTTTTCATTTTGAAAAGGTATGAATTTTTATTCACAACAAGTATATTACTAAACGTAAAATATCAAAGTAAAGTGGCCATTATATTTATATGTATCTTCATTATTAAGCAGTGAACGTCTATTGTGTCATGTGTAATGTACGTTAAAACATTAAGTTCTGTTTGCCATCAAATCTTTTCACTCCGCTCCGTAAACCTTAACATAATCACATGATTCACAGGTTGTTTATGAAAAATAACATGATCTCAGCTTTTTTTTATGTTCATGAAAATGTGTTTTTAAATATTTCATTATTTTCTCATAATAACGATACGTGTTCCTGAAATAGAACTAACAGCTTCTTCTCCATTTTTGTCTGATGTTAGGGACCATTTACCAAGAATGTTAATTCAACGTTTCCGTGTTTCTTTTACGATTTATTTAACAGGAAAATGCTTATCTTAAGTATAAGTTAGAAGAACATGTTGTGGAAGACTGGTAAAGAAGACCGACTTACAAAAAATTAATTTAATTGAGTTTTAGAGCGAACATAAAATGTAAAAATCTTGGATTACTCTCTTCATCTTGTGAGATACTAGTTTTGACGCAAGTTTAGAATTTTCTTTAAACGTCTTTGAATGAACACTGTTCGAACAGTAAGGTTTATCATAACATTTGAAACAACCTAGGCCAGTTATTATTATTATTGTTTTGTACCCCATTTCAGTCAGCGATAAGTTTATGGACTTACAACGCTAAAATCCGGGGTTCGATTCCTAATGGTGGGCTTATTGCAGATAGCCCATTGTGTAGTTTTACAGCACTAATAAAAACAACAACGCTATGATTTTTTATTTTCTTTAGGCTTAATGTGTATCTCGTAAAAAGTCAGGTATTGTAATGCTGAAGATTAACTATATATACCTTTAAATGATTAATCAAAACACAACATACGTTGCACTGCTTTAGCGTACACTAAACATTTTGGAAATATTTTACTGGATACACATTTTTCTAACATAATTTGTTGTGTATTTCAAAGTTGTATCCCTCTAAGTTATTTTGACAACAAAACCTAAATATTACAGGTTTTAAATGTAAATAATGTTCACGGTGTTTAATAATCGTTTAATCAGTGTATTCACTATAAAATCCAACAACAGCGGTATAACAAACAACGCTGTCAGAGCAGAGCAACTCTTTATGAGATGATACAAAGAACGAATACGGAACACGAACATATTAATATAACTCACTACAGCCGTACATCTATGTATTTCAGCGATAACATGCTTGATCTAATGCTTCGATTTTTCATTTTATGTAAGTTGTAAGGATGTTGCCTTATTTTACGCAACAGACTGCTTTTATATTATAAATTGGTATCCAAGAGAGAGTCATAAATCTGTAAAACGATCAATTTTCAGTTAAACTTTAGTACATTGAGCCAACAGAAGGAACGTTAGGCCTAACTTGTTACTCGAGAGTACTGATATAATGCTTTTTAGAAGATAATTTCGTATATTAAAAAGATTCACACTATTGCTCATTCTTAGAAAAGTTTCGTTGTCTTAATCTCTCTGTGGAAGACTTAACCCTAGGCCTTTAACATCATTACTTTTATTTTATATTATTAGAACTAGGAGACAGAAAATATTACAACGTGGAACAGCTTGACTATTTCTTTCAGGAATGTTCGGAAGATGATTGGATGAGCAAGACCCGCAATTTATTTTAATGCTTTAATGAATTAATAACCTAAACTATTTTGTCGGCCCTTTTTAAAAAGTTGAAAAGCATTTAACTCTCATTATAATACAAAAAAGAAACTATAAGTAATAATAATAATAAGTAATAACTCAAGTATAACACAAACTATAGAAAAACCTACATTCATCTTCACATGCAAGTGTGATAACACGTTCAACAATTACCATTCCTCAAATACCGTTTTACAGATAGTACTATTTTTTGCATTTATCCCAAATGGATCAAACTTAATGTATAGTTATAACGATTTCAGTTGTGAGGAGATTTATTTGAAACAATTATCACTATTTAATTATATCTTTAGAGTATGTTACAACACTCTAAACCTTGCATCAAAATCCCTGAAATGAGGTGGATAAAAAAAAAAGAAGAGAAAACATGTATTACATGATGGCTACGAAAATATAACTTGTATCATAACTCCTAAGGTGAGGTCGACAGTCATGGCTACAAAAAGAAAACATGTATCACAACCTCTGAAATGAGGTCAACAGTCATGGTTAAGAAACGAGAACATGTATCACACACACATCTCTTCAAATGAGATCGACAGTGATGGCTACGAAAATATAACCTGTATCATAACCCCTAAGGTGAGGTCGACAGTCATGGCTACAAAAAGAAAACATGTATCACAACCCTTGAAATGAGGTCAACAGTCATGGCTACAAAAAAGAAAACATGTATCACAACCCCTGAAATGAGGTCAGCAGTCATGGTTAAGAAACGAGAACATGTATAACAACACCTGAAATGAGGTCAAAAGTCGTGGCTACAAAAGAAAGCATGTATCACAACCCCTGAAATGAGGTCAACAGTCATGGTTAAGAAACGAGAACATGCACCTGAAATGAGGTCAACAGTTGTGGCTACAAAAGAAAGCATGTATAACAACTCCTGAAGTGAAATCGACAATCATGGCTACAAAAATATATCATACAATCTGGTTCGCTGATATATACTTAAAAACACTTCCATGTTTATAATTGTTTAGATCAGATTTTAAACGTTAAAAGTTTGTTTTGGTAACAAATGGAATTACGATGCATATTAATTACATTATCATTCTTTGACTAGTTTTGGTAGAGCTCTTTCAAATATTTGTTTCAGGGGCGGTGTTAACTCATTTAACAGGAATATTTTTGGTCCCCCTAAAAATACTAATTGCAATATTTCCATGAGCAAAAAACAGACACCACCGTCACAGCACATACTAATACCTTTGTTAAAAAGTAATGTTTATTCACATTAACACTATCGCCTAAATATTCTTTTCAAATCACGTTCACTGTATTCTGCAGTGAGCAACCAATGAGCGCATGAGCACCGTACGTGTGCCTGACCGAGAAGTGTGTTGGTACTGCAGTTTTCAAACACTCGTCTATTATCGAATGACGTGTTCTTGGATCATTTGCATTGTGTATGTGTTTGCGTTTTTGTTATAACAAAGCCACATCGGGCTATCTGCTGTGTCCACCGAGGGGAATCGAACCTCTGATTTCAGCGTTGTAAATCCGTTAGACTTACCGCTGTCCCACCTGGGAACGGCTTTCATTGAAAACACTTTATTGTTCAAATGGGTACAATACTAAAACAGTCAATGTTCTGATGAAAACAAATCATGAATCGGAGCCCTAAAAAATAGCTTAAT